GCGAGATCCTGCTCTCCCAAGGCATCAAGACACCCACACGATCTGTGTGTTATCCCGCCATACAATTGCTGGCGACACCTGGCTGCTGCTGATTCTCAGTTCCACCTGGAACCTGATGAGATTCCACTTTATGGACTACAATGCCTCAAGCCAGTGTACGGCCTGAATGACGCACCAGTGGCCTGGCAATTGAGTTTGGGAGTGTTTCTGAAAGAGCAGCACGGTCAAGCTTCTTTGTTGGACGACAGTTTCTACTTCTGGAAGGATCCCAAGAAGAGTCCAACACTACGTGCAGCTCTCACTACTCACGTTGATGACCTTGCAGTCGTTGGTGGTGGCAACTTCATGGACGACCTCTACAAGACAATGTGCAAGAAGTTTGGCAAGATTTCCAAAGAAAAGTTGCCATTTCCTCACTGCGGCTGTCTTTACTCCAAGACTAAGGACGGCTACAAGATCGATCAGACTGAATTCGCCACGAAGCTAAAGCCATCCACGAATCCTCCTGGAGATGATGAGAGAGCACTGACCGCATCTGAAGTCACCGACTTGCGCTCAGTTGTTGGAGGCTTGCTCTGGCTATGTTCAACACGTTTGGACCTGGTGGCCGACGTGGGAGTACTACAGTCAGCAGTATCTGCTCCTAAGGTGAAGCATCTACGAGCTGCAAATCTTCTGGTCAAGAAGGCAAGCAGTCCCGACCGTGTCCAATTGGGCCTGCACTTTCGCTATGTCCATGGAGCGTCCAGCTTCCGCCTTCAGTGCATACATGATGCATCCTCTCCAAGCAAAGGACGCTCCTATGCTCAAGAAGGAGTCATGGTCCTGCTTATGCCCGAATTGCCTCAGCACATCCTCAACCAAGACGAGATCACTTGTGATGATGCAACGACATCACAGCTGAACGGCTATGGGCACCTCCTTTTCGCTCATGGAGGAAAAGCTAAAAGAGTGTCATACTCTACCTCACATGCCGAGACATTGTCGGCAGTGAATGGCTTGGAAGCGAGCAGCATGGTCAGTACTCGACTGACTGAACTTTGGATGGACAAAGCCAAGCCGACCTTGAAGGACCTCACTCAGCACCAAGAAGAAGGCTCACGTTTATTTCCAGTGGACTCCGCCACAGATTGCAGAGACTTCTATGAGCTAAGCACCGGATCTCGTGCTGTGCCTCAGGACAAGTTGCAGAGGCTCTACATCGCCGCCATCAAGGAGGCACGAGTCACTGGCCGCCTTCGCTACTTTATGCTCATTCCAACTCAGAGCATGTTAGCTGATGCATTGACCAAGCCAATGATAGCACCACAGATGATGGAGTTTTTAAGCTCAGGACACCTCTTCATGAAGAACGAGCCCAAGCATGTAGTGTTGCTTCGCCGCCTTCCTACACTCGAAGACCTTCGAGAAGAAGATTTGTGGAAGAGCGATGACCAGATCGCAAAAGAAGTACATCGAGGATCCAAGATGGCAAAAGTGGCCTGCCTAACAAGCTTCAAACTGAAGCCATGGATTGCCACCCTGGCAATGACATCATTGATGATGACCACCGTGTCTGCACAAGGCCAAAATGAACCACCAAGGCCAAATGAAAGTTCCAACGACTGGACCTTCCTGATCATGATCTTCGTCGCCTATATGGCCCTTCGTTTTGGCGAGTTCCTTGTGACGTCAGGCATTCAAAGCCTTCTGCCTCGAAAGAAAATTGCCAGTCCACCATCTACTCCGCCGAACTGTCCAGCTGGAACGCCAAGGACCCTGAATTTAGATGGATCTTCATCGACTTCTTCTACGGCACGACCAAAGCCGAGCTCTATTCCTGCGCCTTCCGCTGCTGTTCCAAAGATGCCTGCGCCTGGCAGCCCGATCATCGACTGGTCTGCATCTGGCACGACCGTGTTCAAGCAGCCGCCGCCTGCGCCGCCGACTGAGAGCGCACCTAGCTCAGGCCCTGGCTATGAGCGTGTGTATTTCACCGCCTCCGGTGAATGTTTCCATGTGAATCCGCAAGGCGGACACCTTCGTCACCACAATGTGCTCTCAAAGCGCAATTGCAAAGACTGCTCCAGGATCCGAAACGCCAGTGGAGTTTAAAGATTTCCACTAATGTCACTTTTTGTCATGACACCTTTTTCACGATCGCAGAGCGCTCTTGAGCTGGTTCAAAAGTCCGTCCTACCGACTATTCCATTTTGCAATGTATAGTCCAGCAACATTATATACTGTAACGTTTTGTCCTACATTTTCCTGGGTGTTTCCCCACTTCCCTCACCTGAGCAGCCAACCTGCCAGACGCATGAGTCTCATGCCGCATGACCTCGAGATGTTGGGAGTTCTACTCTACTTATATAGCTATTTCGCTTTTGGGCGGATCACCGTGGGACACCTCAAATGTTGGAATGCTATGGGCATAGTCTAGTATATAGAACGAACAAAGATATTGATCCCTAAAGCAATGCTGTCGTGGCAAAGCAGGACGTCTTAGCCATGCACCGTGTGTTCGCCCGTTAAGCCAAGGGCGATGCATCCCCCAAGCTTGCCAGCTCCACCCGGCCACATCCCGTCCGGGCCACCGGGGGAAGGTGTGGACGGGTCACCGGGCGGCTCCCACTTCGCGTTGCTGGTCTTGTTCCTGGCGGCGCGATGGGCCAGCAAGCTGAGCCTTGGATGGTGTGGTCCTTCTGGGAAGAGGAAGGAGGTTCCAAGCGGTGGATTTCGGGCCTGGTCCAAGCAGGTGTGGGCAGATCCAGAACTCGTTGGAGGGAAGAGAGGAGGTATTCTAATGTCCATCAAGGTCCTTTCATCGAGAAGATTCTGAGGCGTACCGGACATGAGTTTAATATCGCGATGCCATATGCCAGGGCCCAGAAGAGTTCACATGGCTCACAAAGTTAGAAGTACGATGCAGAAAACTGCTAACTAACTAGCGACGTGCCGGGGGTTTGACCCACGGACTTGGAGCTCTTCGATCAAGGAGTTTTGCGTGGCTTCCTCCTCTCTTGCATGTGCTCCTGCCCAACTTGGGGTCAGATCCAAGGACAGCACCATTGAAGAAGCTGCCGCCCTTGTTGCCAATGCACCTTGGACTGCCTTTGAAGTCCATCACACCATACAGTACACTTACCACGACACGGTTCAGGTCCAGGTTTTGGGAAGTTAGTTCAGCATTCATCACTGTGGATCTGAGGGTCAGACTCAATCCAGGTCCAGGAAGACTAGACACCTCCCATCTCCCAAATGCTGGAGATTTATGTTGGTGAAGCAAAAGTGTGCATTTTCAACCCATGACTCCATGTCCCGAACATTGAAGCATGTCCCGAAAGTGTGTACAGTTTCTGGAGATTTTAAGCCCATGACCCAACGAAGAAATCCAGAAACAACCAGCAGCTCTCCGAGGCTCATCATGGGCTTTCTTTTGAGAAACTTGCCAGTGGTCGGTGAGCAGATTGGGAGCCAGGCGAGAAGCGAAGATGGTTGACCGTCCCGGAAGTGAAGCCACTTCGAAGACCTTCCCCGACGAGAGGTCGCTTCAGGGTTTTATTATGACGATGACCGTCTTTGCAGAGACCGTTTGTGTCAAAGCGGCGTTGGAAGGAGTAAAAAGACAATAACAAACATACATTTAAAAAAAATAATGAAAAAGATCCCAAGACTGGAAGATACCGGAAGTCACATGTTTGGCCCGTAAGATCTGCAATAAAACAGACTTCATGTCATGGAATCCCAAGACTGGGATCCACAAGACCGACCTTCCAGAACTCAGCAGAGCAGAGATATGTTCGCGTCCTGCGGGGTTTGGGGCAAAAACTCTGGTCGGTTCCTCGGAGTCTTCGGGAGATATTTTTGGAGACCGGCGTGTTTGCCGGCCAGACACAGCAAGTCGGTTGGTCAAAGTACCTGTGAGCCTACTAATGTTATGTCTACTATTGTCACACCAAGCTTGGGGCGACTTCTACGGAACTCGCTTCGAGGTGGATCCTGCATGGTCATCCGCACTCAGGCGGGTGGAGGTGGTTTTCTCAGGGTCTCAACGATGTGATGTCTTCAAAAGACTGTTCTTCCAGCATATTCCAAAATTCAGTAACTGATTCCTGCCACACCTCGTCAATCCATGTGAATCCCTCCACTGTTTTGTGATAATTTGACCATCATGTTGGGAGGGAGCTCAGCCCTGGAGAGGTGGGACTTCCGGAGTTGCTCCCCGGAAGAACTCTCGGAATGCAAATTCACTGGTGGAAGCTCATGGGACTTCTTTGTTGCAGCTGAATTTGTTCTAACATGAAGTCTTGCAGGCTTGGCGACAGTATAATATGGTATACAGCATCCGTTATCTTTTTTTAAATGGGACTCACTCTACGCTGATAGCCTATCCTATCCTTCTCGTAGGCGCCCGCTCTAAACAGGCTGATCCGAAGACAGGATGTTGGCTGCCGCATCTGGTGGGTCATCCATTCTCTTCGCCGCTCGCTTCACCAGGCTCGGTGCCCTGACCCTGATTCTGACGCGTGCGGGCCTGGCGATGGACCTGGACGCCTTGCGACGCTTGCGCTTCGTGGCAACCCGGTCGCAGAGGTCAGAGTTGGAGAACCCGGTAGTGGTCGTGGTGAAAATTCATCCTCAGATGGGGCAATTGTGTAGATGTGGATGGTTCGATCTGAATCCAGAAGGTCAATTCCCCAAACCCTCAAGACTCAAACATACTCAAACCATGCTGTCTATTTTCTACCGTTTCCACCCTTGGGTAAACGTCGTCCAAGCAATCGGCTTCTAATAAGAGTGAAAATGACCAACCAATCCAAACCCTGTGGACGTTCCCTCCTGCCTGGTCCAAAGGTCCTTTGTTCGGGGTCCTCCTGCCTCGTGCCCATGCCCTTTTGAGGTCCTCCGTTTGGCGGCCTTGCCGTGTTTGTCGGAAGCGGCCACGGCGGGGCTGCTGGCCAGCTGGCTGCTGGAGACCCGGAAGCGGGGCTGCTGGGGGTCGTGAGATTGATGGAAGCGTCCATCAACAGTCAGGAATAGCCTGAAGAAACCTGAGAAATATGTCAATCTTAGGGCTGATAACGGCTGATACAGTTGTTTGCCCAATGAGGTGACTTCAACCACAGCTATGAACGATTCGGAACCCCTCATGAGCCTTTTTACTATACCAACTTCTAGTACCCCTTGTCAGAGACGACCCCAACAAACGGTAGCAGCCTCACGGGACGTTCTCTAAACATCACCGTAGCAACAACAGTTTCAACAGCCCTTATCAATATTACCGCAACCTTAGTGATGACCTCAGGAGCAACCTACCTTAGGAACGACTTGCGGGTACCATCAATGATAAGCTATGATAAACTGCAGTCGAGTCAAGACCTGTTGCTAAATATTTTTCCGCTCAAGTCAAGCCTGCATAGGAGCACGGATGGGCAGTTTGTTCCCAGAAGCCCTTCTCCACAAGCTTTTCCCAAAGGACTTTCCCATTTGGTGGGCGGCTATGCTGGGCTTCGTAGTGGCTGCCATCAGTCCTGCAGTGGTGGTGCCGTCCTTGCTGCAGTTGCAGGAGAGACGGACAGAAGCGTATATATTAGATATAGGCGCAAAGTGCGTAGGCGCATGCGGTGCCACTGGATGCGTACGTTGGTGATTCAGAGAGTCATAAGCAAGTAGACCCTTGAAAAACTATCCCTTTGCAACTTCTTACCCTGGATTTCAGTTGATTTTCTTGACTCATTTCCCTGACTGTCCCCTGGCTCAAACTCAAGCTTTCCAAGCTTTCCACATACCTTTTCCTGCCTTTCCCCTGCCTGCCATGCAGGGCATCAACCAGGGACCTTAGTTTCTGGGGCATTGCTCTGGCTCTACCGTTTTTGAGGTGTTCAAAGAGAGGCTGCTAGCAGACACCAGCCAAGCCGATCGTTCAAGTGTCCGTGTGTGTGTGTGTGTGCGTGCGCGAGGCGTGCGAAGGTGAGGTGGTGAGGTCGATGTGACTTAGCGTCAGAAAGAAGTCATCAGGAACCGTGTTTTCGACAACCGCGTTCAGAATTGCACGGTCAATCTTGACTCAATCTAGTATATCATGCTTACTGAGTCTGAGAAAATGGACTTGTTCGTCAACGCGTTCCCTTCACTCCAAGAAACTGCACCGTCCGAGCTTGAACCTCCAAACCACCTACGACGAAACCTGCGGTCTCTTGCGGTCTCGGACGTTCCCAAGCTCGTGGGGGTGCCATGAAGAATAAGAACTGACCTGAAACGTTTCTGAGCACCAAACACTCGTGCAAAAGCGAGCGTTGCGCTCCTCGTTGTTTTCATGTTTGCCTGCTGCTTCCAGCAAAGATCTCAAACGAACTGCTTGACTCTCCAAGACCTCCCATGCTTTCGGAACTGTAGCAACAGACAACTAACCCGGCCGACCGCTTGTAGCTAGTGACATTGGATGCCTGAGCTTGTCCCAACGCAGAACGCCTGGGATCAATCGTTGGAAGGCATTGTCCCAATATTTCCGTTTGCTCCTCTCAAGCTTCCCAAATCAAGGAGTTGAGGGGTTCCCATGCCACCGAGGCCATCCTTTCATTGTTTCGTTCGCGCCGGTGAGTCGGGCCGAGACACCTGGGAACAGGAGCAAGGCTATGGCGTCACAGCAGGGATCCCCACGATGGTCGTGGCTGCTGCTCCCTTGGATGACGTCCTGTCAATCGCAGGCGCGAGGAGGTCCAAAAGCATGTTTTCAGCGGTACTTTTGCTTCGAGCGCGTTTGAAGCAGAAAAGCGACGAAAAGAAGCTGAAAGGTGCAGAAGTTCAGCCCCCATATTGCATCTTTGCAGAGGTTGCCACACTTTTCCCAGACTCGTAGTGTTCATGGCGGCGCCTTGTGGCCCCACCGAGCGGCCCAAAGTGGTTCGAAACCGAGGCTTTGGCATTTGCCTCGGCTCAAACTTTGCGGAGACCAGTTGGCTGAGCTACGCGCGTGCACCACTGGAGCTGGTTTTGGGGCTTGGACTCTTGGATGTTCAAGCTTGTTCGAGTGCTTCAAGTTTGGGTGGGACATCAGAGGAGATCCAGGAAAGTGGATCCAATGGAGACAAGAAAGAAGACGATCAGAGACAGGGTGAATGGGGCCGTTCGGCCGTAGATTCCCCCACTTGGGCTGGATGGACCTCACTGTTCACATCGCTGAGGCACTGGGCTGATTGGGTCAGCACCTCGAAGCGGACCGCTGATGAGCGACCGTTTGGAAACGACTGTTCTGGACGTGTGTGCGTGACGTCCAGTGGAAGAGCGCCATGGATATTGACCATGTACATTTGGGAGCTTGTGATAGCTTATGTATATACATGCCGGTGAAATCTAACATCTCCTTAAGATTTGGAGCTATGTTAGTATTGAAAAGCCGTGGAAACAAGCCGGAGAAATCTGGGTAAGGTTGGACGCTGTTGAGGAGTCTTTCGTGGAATTTTCGAAAGCATGTTTCGAGCCACCTCGAATTGTCTATGTTAGTGTGTGCACCTGTAGCATTTCGGCTATCTCTAGCATGCACTAAGCCTCAATAAGCCTTAATAGGCTTCAAGTCTCTCCCTTGTCTCTGTGTCTATTCCCTTAATGGGGGAGCTCAGAGACGTCACCGTGAAGAGCCCATCCCCGGAAGAGCCGGTCGCATTGACACCGGTGAACCCTTTGAGACCTTCCACCGTCGTGTTCCCTGTTTCTCCCCCGTTAAGGGAATAGACACAGAGACAGGGGGAGAGGAGAAAAAGTGTAAAAAGTAGCTAGTTATATAATTGTTAATTCTTAGTTCTTTTCCTGCTCTAACTCCTTTAGTTCCTTTCTTTCATGAAATTGGAGCCGGAGATATATAGTACAGCCACAGGTCTATGTTAGAATAGGGCTGAGCACTGCACATGTGCTATGTTAGTGTGGCTGTATCCACTGGTTTGTTTGCTTAAGATTTGAAGCTATGCTAGCATTGAAACACTGTGGACAACGAGCTTGGGAAATCCCAGGGGTTGTTGGATGCTTCGGGTCTAACCCCCGAACATTTCAAGATCAAACACATAGCTGCCTGTTGGCCATCAGGCATATTCTATGTTAGCATCTGCGGTTCCGCTGCAGAAACTAGCAATGCTTACTTGAGAGTGTTCTATGTTAGTCTCCAAGAACCACATAGCCTCAACCACATAGTCTCAACCGGTGCTTTCCTATTTCTCCAGGAGGTCACCGTTGCAGGTGTGCCATGTGAATGAGCACCGACTTTGAGACCCGTGTTCTATGGGAGATTTCCCCGGAGTAAATACTTTAAAATCATGTGAATCATCAGTCTGCCAGCTTTCCAAAGTGGGTGTGCAACAACGACTTGTCTTCATCGATGTTCGTCTTCACGACCTCCACGCCCCGACCATAACGGCCCCGACCATCCTGCCGACATCCACGAGTTGGACCATACTTGTAGACCATAGAAGCTGAATCCTTCTGATTCCTGAAGCCGTCACGAGGCGTTGTTGGTGGTCTTGACGCCCAGCTCTGATGAGGACCTTCCTCCAGACCGAGTGGTGGATTTGGAAAATGGGCATGTCTCGGGGTGTGCCCCCGCTTGTGACGCAAGGTAGAAGGGAAAGTAGATGGAACCCAAGAACGTTTGGGAAATCTCTGAGCCGTGACCATATGACACCATATACAGGAAGTATCCTGGGCTTGATCCTGGTGGTGATGAATCAAAGTGAACCTTTTCGCCCATTGAGGAACAGCCGGGTGTCTGAGAGAGATTAAGCGCCCGAGGCTTTGTATAAGACTTAACAAAGAGTTAGCAACATTGGACTTTTGCACTGTATGTTGAAGCTTAGGGAGGACTTCATTCGTATGGCAGAACCAGAGAAAAAAATATACATGGACATGTGTCTTGCTGCCCTATGGATCCACATACGCCAAAAGATCCGAACGGTGCTTGCGCGAAACCAAACACGCAACATTGGGTCGTCACCTCAGGTCTGTAGATCTCTAGAGTAGAGGGTGGAGGAAATGGTGCTGTTGAGACTCTATTGTCTCAGATTGGCTGGAGGAGGCTTTTGAGCTTCGGCTCCTTTTGCTCCTGGGAGCAGGCTTGGCCACGGCCTTCGGGCTACGTGAGGCCCCGCTCATCGGACAGGGGCAAACTGGGGTGGAGGAACCTCCCCAGTTTTGTTTGTTTCTGCTCTTTAGGTAGATGGGTCACAACCTACTACCCAAAGCAGTTGAGCTTGTCCTGATTTCGAATCAGGTATGATGATACTTGGGTAATTATGCCGGATGGTGTCAAGAGTTTAGGTAAGCATTTCAACGGATGGCACCTGTTTGCACATCGTAGAAGTGGGCAGGTTGAATCAAAAAAGACTTACCATAGATCTTATTATCTCTATACCAATCCCTTTCAAGGTTAATGTGTTAACACATGTTCTAACCTGAACAAGTGGTGTTTCACCAGGTTAACCATTGGTTAACCAATGTTTCACTTGTTTTTGGGGTCAAGGACACTTTCGGACCCATCAGGTGGGCTTCTCCGGTGCCTCAGCGTTGGCAGTGCTGGTGCTGGGCGCCGGATGTGCCAGAGGTGCGGACGGTGTTCGGTGGCTGAAGAAATGGCGCTAGTCAGCCTACAGTCAGCAAGTCACATGAATTAGATGAAAGGCCTGGCTGTGAAGATTTTAAAGGTGATTTCCAATTTTGATCGTGCAACACGTTCTCAAAGTTGTTGAATTCAAGCACATTCCGTTTAAAAGGCTACTAAGAGGTCCGTTTCATTTATACATGTTGTAGTTACCATAATCACATGGTACTAAAAACATAAGTCAGTTAATAGTTCATGTTAGTAGTATAATATGTTAAGTGCGCGTAAGTACGTTGCAAGTGCGTGCTAAGTAGGTGGCGTTGGCAAACACCCATGTTTTTGAGATGATAAATGTTTTGGACACTGCCCCGGCCCACTAACAGTGAGCACAAAGATGGGCACCACCGAGCGCACGAGAAAATTGGACCCCAAAAGCGGGTTTCTAAATTTGAAAAGTCATCTACCTAAACTGAATAGTCCCATTATATGTTGGCAGCACCTTTTTCTCCTTCATACCTTTGCCACTGGTCCACTGCTTTGGTGCTCTACACGGCACACTCTTGTGCCCAAGCCAACAAAGCCTTGCAAGGCTGCGCGCCCTGGTCTTCTCCAAGCCTTTCTTGAACCTGGGTTGGGGCTGGCTTGCTCTGGGGAGGTCCGCTAGTAAAGTAAATGTCCGGCTAGGGCTGGGCCTGGGGCTGGCTGGGCTGGGCTGGCTTGCTCTGGGGAGGTCCACTAGCAAAGCAAATGTCCCCCTACGGCTGGGCCTGGCACTGGCTGGGCTGGGGCTGGCTGGGCCGGGGCTGGCTTGCTCTGGCGCCTGGGGCTGGCGGCTGGGGCCAACTAGACTGGGGTGGATTTAGCAAGGCTGTTTGTTGTGATTGTTTGCTGGCTTCCAAATTTTGGTGGATGATGTTTCATATGAGCTTGTCAAATTCAAGCGACTTACTCAAACTAAGTTCTGGATTTTGATGTTTAATCAACAAGTGGTATTACTTGACCAAATTGACATCTGCTTGGCTTTGGCTTGAAAATGTGAGCAGCCCCTCCCCGCTGCGCACGGTGGTGTCCGCCAACAAACTGTTTGACACCTCCCTGTGCAAACTTCCTTTCTGCCTGGGCAGCAGGAGTGATTCAGCTGAATGATTTAGTATCTGGCTGCCTTCCTTCCTCGAATCAATAGGTAGGAGATGTACAGTTCTGGCTTTTTGGTAGGAGACCTAGAGACCTCCTTCCTTCAAAACATTGCGTTCGTTGCAGTCATTGGCTGAGGAAGGTGTGCATTTCTTTGGCGCGCTTTTTTGAACTGGCCTACGCTTGTGCTTAAAAAATCCTTAAGAAACGACGCTTAGCGCCGAAGTTGCTGGTCAGCTTGGCGGAAAAACATTTCCAAGAAATCCAAGCGGGCATTTGGAAGCTCCAAGCAGAGTTGCGTTGCTGCTTCAGCTGCTACTCCAATTTTTCGTTGGATTTTGTATTTTTGGTCAGGTGGTAAAGATTTCGTGATTTCCTCCAAGATGTCTCTGTCGCCTTTTTCATGCGCAAGGAAATGGTTCTCAGCGCGTTGCAATGCTTCTGGGTCAGGCGTCACATCTTCCAAAGTCGGGACGCCCCCGCGTATCCAGAAGCCTAACAACTCCAAGGTGTCCGAGATGAGATCTGACACCAGATCTTTGGCTGGTTCCACATATGAGTCCATTGAGAACCTCAAACCTTCACAAGTAAGTGCACTGTAGACAGCATTGAGCTGTCCCAGCACGAGCCATGCACGTCCCCAGTCCACGCTTGGCCTCAAAAAAGCTTCGGCCATGGCAACTCGGAACTGCGCCTTTTGCGCACAGTGGTCGGACTCCTCCATTTTGTAGTGACGACGCAGTCAGTTTGGGCCGAGGCTATGCAGCTGGTCCTGCTTTGCTTGATTGTAACATATTCGATTGTTTCTTGGCACAGTCATGCTGCAGGTTTCAGGAGTCTGCAAGAGCCTCCTTGATTTCTCCCAGCTCTTTTGAATAATTTGGCGCCGGTTCCCCTTTTTTGCAGCGAAAACAGAGTCACTTCGTCAGTATATTTAATTTGCAGCAGACACAATGAACATTATGTCTTGAAAAAGGAGCTGCACTTCTGACAGCTCACTTTCTAACTCGCTGAAGCCATCATCGTATTTAGCTATGGTGATCATGCGGCGCAGCAACTGGTCCAAGGACTCATGCTCACGCAGAATGGTGGCCTTGTAGGGACAATTTTTGAGAGCTGCTAAAGGCTTGTGTTTGGAACTGGCGCCAATGCCCGCAAGTGTTTGGATAGGAGCTTCAGGTCCACCCCCCCATGCGGTTCGCAGCAACGCTGTCGTGGCTGCTTGCCACATGCTCATCAAAGGTTCCAAACTTGGGCGGCGCCCACAAAAAGCAAGAATATTGCGGCAGCTCTCCCGGACAAATTCAATGCAATCCTCATCATTTTCTCGGGTCATCACCGTGATCAAAAAGAGGACCAAGGGTTCTGACGGCGCCATCACACCTGCGCAGGCAGCAAAACATGTTGGAAATTAAAAACCTGACGCCAATGAAAGATGTATAATTAGAATGATTTTGCTCAAAGCCCCCCAGCGGTTTAATCATGGCACCTCCGTAGTCAGCGCCAGGCGGGCTCAAATAAGGGCTTTCAGCTTTGGAGTATAATACGCTGAAGGGCAGGTCTCAAATTCAACATGCATTTTTTGTTAAATTCAAAGGACAGTCAGATGCAACGTTTAATGGACAACCAGAAAATGCATTGCAGCTACTTGGCAGCACTTGTGCTTTTTTTGTCTTCTCTGGGCACAGTGGCGGTGTGTGAGCGCTTTCGTCTCAGCCACAGGTTGCTACTCTAATACGATGCCTCTGGCAATCAGGATTCTTCTCACTATCCGCTTCACTACACAAACACTCATTGCATTCCCCGCCAATTGCCCCAACGTTTGCGGAGAGTGCTTGGTTTCATCGAAGCTGTAGGAATTGGGTGGGATTCCTTGCAGCAGGAAGTAGTCTTTGTGGTCCAGAAATCGCTGATGCATTTGGGACCAATAGCCATGCCAGCTTTTGCACCTGCTTTCTGTCAAACAAGGTGTGGCGCCCTTCATGAAATGGACTTCGGAGTTGCCGCAATTCACAATCCAGTCTTCATTCAGCTCATTACTTGCGGCGACCTTTGTGTGGAAAGCCGCAAGGTTCTGGCGGACAGTTTGGTTGAGCTTCCGTCCATTCTGATCTATCTCAAGATTTCGCAAATCTTGTTTCACCGGGGCAGCAGGGCCTAAAATAGCCAAAGACATGCAGCGCGGGGATTTCACTGGCCACATGAAATCTTTGCATTGGACGTCGCGTCGGATACCTACGATGTAAATCCGTTCTCGATGCTGACACAGGCCTCCATGTTCTTGGGTCGACATGACTGACCAGTAGACGTTGTAGCCTGGCGACAAGATCTGATTTATAAATTTATCAGTTGACCATATGAAAACGGGGAATCCAAACATCATGCTCAGTCCGTTTTTGCCAAGTAGCAAAGTTGGTTGGAGGAATCGCGCAATGCACGCAGAGTTTCCACGAGCAGATTGAATTGCTTTGGGAAGAGCTGCATCAAACCCAAAACGTTCTCAACCAGAAAGGATTTCGGCTTGTGCCGTTGAATTTGCGCAGGGACATGCGCCATCAGCTGACCCCGGGGGTCCTGGACACCCTGTTTTTTCCCTGCCAAACTGAAAGACTGACATGGGAACCCGACTGCGTAAAGGTCGCAATCTTCCCACAATGCGGTGGGAAGAGAGCCGCTGGTGGTCATGTCGTGGTGCAAGTAGTCAGGGCCTATGGCCTCCTGGATGAATTTCCTGGCGCAGGGACACTGATGCCATGTTCTACTCACTTTCACGTGGCAATTATTTCCAAACTGTTTCAAACTAATAACCGGCCTCTTTTTTGGGCAGACTTCTGGCGCGTACTTGTGAATGACTTTGACCTCCTGCGTTGCGCCGAAAGCAAGCTTGGATGCCAAGCCTTCGGTGCAAAGCCCTGAGCAGTCACTGGCGACCGTCCAGACTCTGACTGGATGAGTTGGGGGGGGCCCACGCAGGTATGCAGTTACTGATTGGGGGATCAGGTCCACTTTGGGTCGGGCGGCGGCTTTCTTGGCTGGCCGCGCAGCAGGTTTCTTCAAAAAGTGCTTTGCAACGGGTTGTTTGGCGCTCTTGGCGACCGGTCTGGAACTTGCAGCCTTTGGCTTCACCCCTTTCATTTGTAGTTTGGCAGGCTTCTTGGTATTCAAATCTGGGCATTTAAGGGCGGGCAGGTGTAAGCTTGCTGGCGAAGACATGGCTACCAAGGCGAAGAGACTTCAAAAACGGTCAAGTTTGGAAATCCTGCAGTCAATTTTGAAAATCCGAAAGAATCGCTTGGCGGTGTACCATCCCACTCTGATTCATTCCAAGTATTCATCGGAGGTTTGAATGTGTTCACTGCTTGCACTTTTTCCCCCATGGGCTCTTTGTGACAGCGACGTGCGTCACAGCTTTCTAATCAGGTCTCTGACCGGCTTTGCCCCAAAATCAAGAGCGCGTCTTACGTTCTGACTGGCTACCGCAGGAAAATATCTATGCGCCGCTTCAGGCTGTCATGGAACGCAGTCAGAAGTAAGCTTGAGAGGTCTGACATTAATTGACATCAGGCTGGCAGATTCGCCAGCTGACGCTGGAATTCATCCAGCACATTCTGGGCACTGCTTGCGCCAGATCCTCCGTCGCTCGAGCCTGTGGCGCCGTTCCCGGAGCCAGAGCTGCCGCCTCCTGTTTGGCTGCCCGTGACTGCGGTGGATCGGCATTGATTTGCACGGTCGCCTCCCAAGCCTGGGCGCCGTGGCTGAAAAACCTTTTTGACATATATGTTCAGATAATATAATTCTTTATCATGCATTCTTTTTGACATGATAGAAATCAGGCCTAGCAACGGGCAGCAAACTTCGGTTCGTAAATCGTTTCGCTGCTGTTCAACATCTTCAAAAGAAGTTCGCAGACCACCCTTTCTGTCACCATGTTCAAATGTGTCTCTGTGAGACAGAAGCCATGATAGGGGCATCTTTTCAAACAGCACGCCAAGGCCCAGTTTCCATCGGCAGCGCCCACATCCACCACTGCTGTGATGTTGTAGGAATGCAGAAGTTCAAAGCAAAGCGACAGCGGACGCGAATGCCAGAAGACTGGCTCCACGTTTGTCATCTTTCTGGTAGAGACTCCGCGGTGGGATTCAGCTTCGCCTGGCGTTCTTCCACCCACTGCCACTCTGTACTTGCCAAAGACCTCCAGCTTCTCCTAAGGCGTGGGTGTGAAGATGGCTGCATAAAAGGAAACAAAACACGGCTTTTTAGGAAACATGGGTTTCAGCTTGGAAAACTCTGAGATTTGCCGCCGTTCTGCCTTCAGCTGCAAGCTCCAAAGCGTAGCAGGGGCATCCAAAGCAACGTCGCCAATCTTGTTGCCAAGATTGCTGCCTTTGTAGTACAAACGGGCGCGGTAGGTCATGGAATCCTGGAAGGCGTCGTGGGTTACAACCGACATCACCTCGACTTGTTGGAAAATGGTGGAGTTGTGCTTCACATATTGCCTGCGATTCCGCAGGCTATCCTCATCATAGGACAAGTACACGTTCATGACATTCTTGGAGATTTGGCTGCCTGCAGAATTCTGTAAAGAACTCAGCACCTTGCTTGTGTTGCCAGGAGTAAAGCAATCGAAGTAGACCACCATATCCCTGTCTTGCAATTGCAAGGACTGCTTGTCTCTATTCTGGATCACTGCATTCATGAACTGCTTCAAGAGGACCAAGTTCAAAGGCGGAGTTCTGATGTTTGGGCTCGTGATTGCTTCGCCCCATTGGGCCGGGTCCAAAATCACTGCGGTCCAGGCAGGGCCGCTTCCACGAACAGCGGCGGCCGCAGACCCCTGCAAAATCTTGGCGAACTCCGTCTCAGAGTTGGGGATCTCGCTCAACGTCACGTTGGAAGCGAAAAGGTTGCGGGCTTTCTCTTCATACGTGGCAATGAGCTCTAGGATATCATTGTTTTTAATTTCTCCCATTTTGGCCTGAACGTTGTCCAAGAAAGCTAGGAAAGTCGGCGAGCGGTCCTTCAAGGGGCTGACTCCTTCCTGTTCAGTCTCCGCTGCTGCCGCAGTGGTGTCCGCAGCTGCTGCAGCCCTGACGCTTTCGGACTCTTGGCGCAACAAGTTCTTGAGCTCCGTGAATTTTTCGCCCAATGGATTGTCAACTTGCAAGCAATCCACAGGAGCCTTTGCGGCTCGCAAGCCAGACTTCAAATGCTCGTCGAAGGTGTCCCGGAATAGAATGTCCTGCAACATGACTTACAAGTCCTTATTAGTGCTTGCTGGAAACTATCATTGAACACAAACTATGGAAACATACTTGGTCCTCGAAAAGCTGTAGGGCTGCGTCTGCGGCTGCTGGCCACCCCGCTTTCCAAGACAAATCACTCTTGCGGTTTGGGTAGCCCACTTTCTGCCGAAAGGTTGCCACATCTTGGCACAACTCTCGCAGAGCTGTTCGATGGGCTTCTTTCAAATCTTTGCCTTCAGTCGTCAAAAACTCCGATGTCAAGTAGTTCCGGAAGCGTAGCTTGAACAGCACAAGGTCAATGTACCCCTTGTTGTGGTCTTTGGCAGTCCCAGTGAGGAATCTAGTCGTGAGGCCGTCCACTTGCAAAAAACCAGCGAGCTTGGCATCTCTCATGTACTGGAAAATCCATACTATCTCGTCAGGCCGGGATGTCTTGGAGACTGTGGCTTGCAAGAGGGAGACCGTTTTCCAAACCGGGTTGTCCGAGGATTCTTCTGCCAAGACCACATCCAAGACAGCGGGCACACGCAAGGCACGGTCCATGACAAGACAGGCGTGGTTGATGAAGCCTGAAACGCTGTCTAGACCTTGAGATAATACTAAAGGGGTTCCCAAAAATGACAAATCCTTTTCTTGGATTCGGCCAAGCAGCCAACGGTCAGTTTCTCTGCCGCCGAACTCCACTTCAGCTTCTTGTCATACATGGTTACCAAAGCTTCCGGAGTGAAGTTGCTTCCCAAGCTCTCACGCTTTGCTACCAAATCGAAAATTCTCTGCGTGGGCGTTCTTTGGAGCACTGCCATTTGGACCATGTCTTCTCGGAGCTGAGCACTGGCCCACTCAATCTCCGCCTGGTTCTCCACAACCTTGATGATGCAGACTGTGGATAGACAATGCCGAAACCACTCTTGCAACTCATTTTCATGCTCTTTGGCGCCCTCGCGAATCAAAGTAGCTGTTGCAGCTGCCGCCTCAAACCAAGCCATGATGGATTCTTCAGGCGACAATCTCTTCCAGCAGCCAAATGCCGGGAAAGTTCCAGCATCCAGCTCGGCCTGCAATATGGCAACGTGCACTGCATGCTGCTCCAAACCAGAAGGCTTCGTGAAGTAGTGACGCTTCAATTTCTCAATTGCTCCTTTGTTGATGGGCACGTGTGGAGAAGACGAGTAGCTATGGTCTAACCAAAACAAATTGATTCGAGACATGTAGCGCTGCTCGCGTTTCAGCGACTGCAACGCGTCTTTCTCGTTGAAGCTCTGTACGAAACCTTCTCGTTCCGGCAGCATTTGCACAATGTCAGCTGCTGCTGCTTCCTCCCGGAAGATTCTCACATTGTCCAAGTGCTTAGAGATAATTTCTCCGTTGCATTTCATAGCTTCTGGAGGGATTGACAAGCCAACACCAGCAGAGGATGCCAATGCCAATGCGCTTGCCGCGCTGTCCCCTTGGCCCTGAGCGGACACTGGAAGCGCTTTAGCCTTGGCAGCTTTCTTAGCCTGCTTCGCCTTGGCCACAGGCTGACCATCCGCACTGGGACGCTTGGGGGCCATGACTACGAAAGTCGATGCAGCCGGTGCAAAGTGAAGCCAAAATTCCTTACGCCGGTGATATGTAGCCTGTCATTGCAGCATGAAAAACTGAAGTGGCCATTGGCCCAAGACTTCTGCTCATGCTCATGCTCTGCTTAAGCACTGCTTGGCGTTAGACAGCCTTAGTATTTCCTGACCCCCACATCTCAATCAAATACGCTTTTGCTTGTGGTGCTCGGCAGCC